CCCCCCCCCCCCCTCCCCCCCGTCCTTACCCCATGTGCCCCCCGTTTTTTGCTCGACCTACCTCGTTGATCGAAACCTACCTTCGCTACTTTTGTGGATTTTTGAAGGCGCGAAGCTTGTGAGTTACGACGTGGACATCGGAGAGTGGGTGTTCGAGACTTTCCACTGGTCGCGCTACGCCATGAGTGACGACGACGACGACGACGACGACGACAAGGATCCCGGCGCCGCCAGCAAGAAGGGCGCCGACAGCGCGAAGAAGATGCCGCCGCCGCCTGCGCTTGGGCGCGCCGGAAGGGTGCCCCGCCCTGCTCGTGGGACGACGTCGTCGAAAGGTGCGTTGTTGCGTAAAGCATTTTCGTTTCTCCCAAAGCGAGTCCGTGCTTTTTTGGATTTCTCCCGTCGCATGTTTTTTTTTTTGGCTTCTTGTCTCGCACGTCCTTGTGTGTGTGTGTTTTACTGAGATTCAGGAAGGTACTGTGGGCAATTTTTTCCGCCCGCGTGCCCGTGGCGCTTTTTCTTTTCCCGTTGACTCATCGGGCGGGTTGCTGTTGGAATTGGGGTTGAAACCCGGGGGGGGATTCAGGTCAGAAGAGGGCTGCTTCCGAAGGACGCAGGAGCACAAAGCTGGCCATGCCCGACACGGATGACGAGGGCAGCGTCGCCGACAATGCCTCAGACGCCGGCGGCGGAGCGAGGGAGGCCTCCAACACCCGCAGCCGCACTGGCGTCGAGGGCGAGAGCAAGGTGCGGCGATCAGACGAGACGACGAGAGTGATAGATAAGGGTAGAGGCATTCACGAAGAAGAGGGAGGCGACGGAAGACGTGGCTGCTTTTGATTTCATGTCGCCCAAGGCCCATAGTTGTTGTTCATCTCTACCTTTTTTGTGTCGAATCGGTGTTCGTAAGTTTTTTGGATCAGAGAAAGATAAATGCAAGTGTTGTTCAAAAGCTGGTCCATGTTCCGATCGTGGCTACGCGTGCGCCTCGTGTGTGCTGTTTTGGCTGCTGCCCCCCCCCCGCCGCCGCCGCCCACCAACATGACGCTCTACGTTAGATGGCGGGTTCAGACGCCGCGGGGTTTGATTCGATGGACACCGACACCCCGGAGGTTGTGGTGGATGGCGATGACGGCACTGCCTGGCCCGACTCCCAACGCGTTACGAGTACCCTCTTCCCGGAGAGGGACCCTTCGCAGATGGAGCACATGCGGTCGTCGCTGTTTGGCCAAGAGGAGCGCCGGATGCCGCGCAAGGCGGCCGATGTTGGTGCCAGCGGCGGCGGCGGCGGCGGCGGCGGCGGTCGCCCGTTGTCGTGGGCGAGGCTGCAGCCGGAACCGGTCGCCCGTCCGCCGGCGCTGCGGAACCCGGAGGACGCGAAAGCGGCGGCGGCCTTCAGACCCGCAGCCGGCGGCCTCGAGAGCAGGGTGCTGCGGTTGCTGGCGAACGCCTGGGAGCCCGCGGCGGGGGAAGTGGTTTCGGACGCCGCTGCGCGCGGGGCCGTGCGGGCGGGGCAGGCGGTGGCCGACCTTGGGCTCCGCATGGGGAGGGGCTTCCGCGCAAGCTGGGGGCCCGACGGCAAGCTGTTCTGTCCCCGCGCCATGGGCGGCGGCGCGAGGAATGGGTTCCACGGCGTGAGGGTGTCGCGGTTCGACCCCACCCCGTCCGCGTCCGACCGCGACGTGCACAGGCTGTACGTCGAGCCGCTGCGCAATCACCTAGGCTCCGCGGGTCCGCTTGCTGAAGCACAGGCGAAGCGCCACGGGGCGGCGGCGGCGGCGGTGCCTCCCAGGTGGGCCCTGCCAAGGCGTAGGAATGATCGCCCGCAGAACTACGACACTCTCGTGCGCTGCATTCACGGGTACGTGGAAGTGCACAGGTTGGCGGGCGCCGCTGCTACTTCGTCGTCGCGGGAGGCGGGGGCGGCGACTGAAGATAGCCCCGAGTGGGTGCTGGAGCAGTCTTGGCGTCTGGCCAGCGCTATGTGGGGCCAGGAGGAGGGAGAGGGCAGGGTGCAAGACCTCCCGTTGCCGGGCGACCTTCAGCGCGCCGCTGACTTAACGCTCGCTGGCGACTGCGACGGAGGTTCCCCAGCCGCCCGCCGGGAGGCGGCGGTGGGTGACTGGCTTGCGCGCGCCGTTTCCTCCTGCGTGCCTTCCCCCAGCGGTGGCCCTTCTGCCGCCGCCGCCGGCGGCGGCGGTGGGAGCGGCGGCGGCGACGCGGACCGTGAAACCTGGCGGAGGGTGCTCGAGCTGCTCAGCGTGCGCCGGGTCCACGACGCCGCCGTCGCGGCCATGGCCGCGGGGCTGCCCCGCCTGGCGGTGATGCTGACGGCGGTGGCGACCCAGGGCGGCGGCGGGGGCCGGCCTCCGGCGCGCTACGGGAGCAAGTTCCTCGCGCAGCAGGCGGCCCAGTGGCAGGCGGCGGGGGCCGACGCCCGCATGCCTCAGGAAGCGTTCTCCGTGGTCCAGCTGTTGGGGCGCGAAGGCTTCCGCGACGTCGGGCTCAGGGGCTTGATCTCCAAGGGCCCGGGCGGCTCTCTGCGCCCTTCCCTGGACTGGATGCGGCAGCTCGGCTTGTGCCTGTGGTTTGGGGCAGGCGCCTCTGCCGGTATCGGCGGGGAGGATGGCGATCGCGACGGCGGCAGCGGCGGCGGCGTTGTTGCCAACGCCATCGAAGCATACGACACCCTTGTGGCGGACGGGGAAGCGCTATTGCCCACCGCCCGCTACTTCCTCGAGCCCACCCACCACGAAAGCGCCCACCTGGACAAGGTTTGCACGGAGCTCAGGAGGGTGTACATGCCACCGCCACGGCCGCCGGCTGGGCTGTCCCTGGAGAAGAGCGGCGGCGAGGACCGGGGATACGGCAGAGACCGCTGCGTTCTGCGCTGCCTGCTAGCGATGTACCCGTCGCGGAAGGCCGGGGGTGGCGTCGGCGGCGCGTCGGGCGTGTCCCTGCTGTCGGCGCTAGAGCCAATGGCCGTCACCCCGGACGTGATGGACTACCGGCACTCGTGGCACTTGATGAACGTCGTGGAGGCGCTCGGGGTGGCGGAGGTCCAGGACCGCGCCAAGGCTGCGGCCGTAACCGAGGGCCTGCGCTTCCAGCTCGTGAGCGTCGGCCTCTGGGAGTGGGCCGTGTACGTGGCGTTGACGGCGGAGGGGGGCCCCGACCGCCGGGCGGCGACCGCTCGCGAGCTGGTGCTCCGGCACGGGTACCGGGTGCTCGGGGCGCCCGTGAATTCGCCGGACGCGGAGCGCGGCCGCTTCTTGGAGAACTTGGGTATCCCGGGGGCTTGGCTGCACGAGGCTGCGGCTGTCCGTGCAGGGTAAGGGGATCCCGCCGCCCCGAGGCAACAAGTCCGTAGCCCTAGTTGTGTGTCTGGTCTTCCTTGTCGATGTTGCATGGCGTGTGAGCGGTGTGTTCGCATCGCATGCGGTGCTTTTGGGTTCCGCTCGGAGTGCATGGCGGATGGGGCCGCGCTTGCGTCTTGGAGGGCCTTAGGACACGCGTCGCTTCAGCGAGGCCTCTCTATGGGCTGCTTGAGCTCTGAATTGATGTGTCCCATCATGCCCATAGCATTTTGTACTTGTCTTCTTGCCTAATCCCGCGTACCCTGAGGGCTGTGTACTCTTTGCTTAATGTTGTAGAGTCACCTTCCGTGCGGAGCATGTTCTAGATGTCCCCAAGTGCCCCGCACAATTTCGACCCATGCCTTCGTCCCCAACCCTTCCCTGTCCATGCCCTCCACCTTTTGCGCGTTCTCTTTTTTTTTGCAGATATGAGCACAAATCGGCCGTGCCGAGCCCCACATACCCCCGCGAGTCAGGCTCCGCCGTCCCGGCAGTAGGCAGCGCCCACGACACCAAGCTGAAGCTCCTCACCTCTGCCGGGTCTGCGGAGCTGGCCTTGGAGGCAGCGAAGGAGGCGTGCATGGTAGCACCCAGCAGCATGTTCCTGGGCGGGGAGACCCTCTCGCTCCTGGCCGAGAAGCTGGGTGAAATCGCGTGGCTCGTGGAAGAGGGAGGGAAACAAGAGGAGATTGGTTCGCTTGGCGGCGAGGGAAGGAAAAACGGCGGCGCCGGGGTCGGTAAGGAGTTTTACGCGTACAAGGAAATCGTTGAGGCGGCGGTGGAGGAGAGGGCGGGGGGAGCAGCAGCAGCACTGCGGCGGTCGAGAGACGAGATGGACAGGCTTGAGCGCATGTGGCGCATCGTGCAGCCGTCCGCTTCGCGGGTCTTGGGAGCCGCCGCCGCGCACCAGACCATGGAGACTTTCTGGCAAAACCTGGCCCCGGTCGCTGCTGCGGTGTAGGCTGTCTGGACAACGCGGTGTTGCCTTCGCGTTTACTACGTAGTGTTGAAGAGAGTACAGGCGTTGGTCGAAAGCGTTTCAAACTCGTGCTTTGTCGGCGAGAGGTGTTTTTGCCTCAACGAACAGGCGAAACAATTCACGATTCACGAAATTGTAGGGGTCATTTGGCAAAGTTGTTTAGCTTTTGTTTAGCTTACGTTCATTGCGGACAAGGAGAGGTGGCTACAGTTAAATGAATGTATGCGAGTGTATTGTGCGTAGATACCTCGTTTGCGGAGTTGTGCTTGGCGTTTTAGGGGTAGAGTCGGGAAACGGAAGAGGAGACCACCGGGGCGGCGTTCATCCGGGCTTGGGTTTTGCTGCCGACGCTGAAGTAATAGAATTAGTCACCTCTTCTTGTTGGCTACCGTGTTGACGACAAGGAAATTCCATACATACATACACATGCAGGCAGCTGTCTGTCTGTGAGGACGCTCTCTACGTTATGCGGCTGGAACGGCAGTGACTTTGGAGTAAACGTAGAAGGTGTTGTTGGAGGAGAGCTTCGGATGACGAAGAAGGCTTTCGGGAGAAGACAACAGCTACAGAAGGGGGCGGGCGCAATGAAAGCGGATTGGCAGGAGGAGGAACGGGTAGTTGTTGCCTCGGGGAGGTGTTGGTTTTGGGGGGACCGGAGTGCTCAATGTACAAGTGTTGACAAGTTGAAGGCAGCGAAATGGTGAAGCATGCGGCGATACATTCCCCGTTCTTGTATCCTTGTAAAGGTTGTGCGAATGTGCCCATGTCAGATCTTGTCTCGATGGTGCGAACACAAACACACAACCTCTTGTGGGCTACGCTGTATGCATACATGCAGTTCTACAGTAGGACCAGGTTGGCGTCAACACGCACCGGCCCTGTTGTCCGTAGATTCAGCGGCAGCGACCTCCTGCGCAACAACTGCCATGCACATGATTGATTCCGGCAATGCCCCACACCTTCCGGCACCGGTGCCATTGTCTGAGCAGTGTGCCATCTCATTGACGTGATGGGAACGGATTTACTTATGGTTGGTGTTTGGCACTGCTGTCTGTGTATCTGCTCGGCTGATCGAGTTTTGAATTCGAATTTTGCGCACATTAGTGTACGATGCGAGCGCTGCTCCTAGTGTGTTTCAGAAATCAACCCAAGATACAGACGCGTGCATACATAACAACTCTCCCCGGCCTGCCCCCCCCGTCCCTGAGGTAGGCCGAGGTTCCGCATGTGGATCTAGACCTCGAACGACCACCCAGCAAAGACGGATATACGGTCCCTAGCACTGTTGAGAGGGGGACCCTGACTTCAGCGGTTGGGAGTTTCTGCTATGGTGAGATCGGAGTAGCTGAACCGCCAGCTTTGGTAGCTGCAAAATGAGACTGGATCCTAACGCCCCGGCTTGGACACCGGGGCTATGCAGCAGCAGAGAGCACGGTGAGGGTGGCGGAGTGACCGCACGCCGTAGGGGCATGCCCCAGAGAGAGGAAAGGAGAGAGTCCAGAGATGGAGGGCCACACCGCTCCGGGACAAGAAGACAACTCTATGGGAAACAAGGCAAGAACCGGGGTAACTATCACGTTAGAGCCGGTCTTAACCAAGAAATCGGTTCCCGATTTCACTTCCCGATTTGATTATAAGACCACAAGATCCAAAGAACTCTCTTGTTGATTGGCTAAAAGTTCTGGAACCCGTGGAATCCTTAGGACATATAATCAGATCCCCCCTCTCCAAATCGGGAATCAAAAAAAAGGTAAAATGATTAAATCGGATCTCGATTTGGGTGAAAATTAGCGGTCTACAGNAAACCAACTTCGAACATTAGCGGTCTACTCGCACGTACGGCGCATGCCCACCTACCCCCATCCACACGAACCCCATCCACCGCCGAGCACGGAGGAGAGAGAGAGCACATAAAGCCAACCGAAAGGGAGGGTGACTGCGCATCGTTGTTGCACGTGACTGGCGCCGAAAAAAAACGTGTGTGGGATGAACTGGTCTGTGGGGCAATCTCGCGTGGATTGTCGAACCTCAAATGCTCAGACAAATCGGTAGCTTTCTGTTTGACGAGGCTCAATTCAGAGTCTCACATGCATAGACGTCGTGTCAGTACCCCACGCAGGCCATGTACGCGTTTGGTGTGTGCATCTCGGGAGCCATAGCTCCTCATGTGGTGTGGCCACGTCATGACAGACGTTACTGACAACAGAATTGTAGTTGCTGTTTGTTGTGTAGTTGGCAGTGGTGGCGCAGTTTGGGTAGATACAACACAGAGTGATCATTAGATC